AAACTTGGTCTTTTGGGTTTTGGTAAAGGGTGGCAATCGACAATCGTGAGTCTCGGGTGTCGGAGGAATATAGCAAAGTCTTTTGATCTGTTTTCAATTTTTTTTCATGTTTGTCGTTGCAGACACAGTACCTCTTCATGTCCCAGCGACAATAAATACCAGAATATACTCCACCAACCTCCAAACTGCCTCGTATCATGTTTCAATCCGAACCGGACTAGCTAGCAGAGGTAAGTCTTTTGTGCGAAAATTTTCCAAAAAAGAGCACGTTTATACCCTTTACATAACCCATGGAGTTTTCGACTGAGATATTAGTATATAGTACTGAGTTCCGAAGATTATAAACGTTGTCGATGAAAGAAACTAAAAAACATGTACAATTTCCTGACTACAAGTTGTCCATAATGTCGACGTCTTCGAGAGTCAACCTCAGCGGAAACCAACGGCAGGCTGAGATCTGAAAAATTGAACTCGAGCGGTTGTCGTGGCCCTCTCCAATCGCCTCAATCGCGCCGCGGCATTCGCATCAACCACTTCATGCTCGCCGTTGGAGCAAATTCGCGTCCCTCCTGTGCATTAACTTTACATTTAATCGCGCCGCCCCCAAAAATTGCATCGCATTCGGTGGGAACTTCAGTGTGAACATTACTGCTGGACCCGGGATGAGGAACACACAGGGTCATATCCCCAGAATGCTAATGGCTATAGCCCTATAACTTTGGAATGGTCATCCCTCAGGAGACATCTCCCACGGTATACAATTTAAAGTAAATCGGAAGAACTTTATTTTTTGCAGTTAATTGGCCGGAAAAAGGTAAAAGTCAAAGGTTGTCCAATCGTCTTTTCTGGTTCACCCGAATTTTTGGGTTGGCTTTATAGCACGTTCAACATTTCAACCCCCTACCTCTAGTCATTGCGAAGATAGGACCCTCAGCATTCCAAGTACCGTGGGCCCTACGTTAAGGTATTTGGAACGGACGTTCCCAATACCGTACCACAGAACCTTGGGTATTGGAAATGTACAGAGTCTTACTTTTAAGGTGCTTTTTCCTGGGCGGCTACAACTTACAGAGCACGATACATTAAATTCTTGCCAGTGTACTTAGGGGTGCTAGACTGAAGATTGTGGCCGTTTCTCAATCGCGAGTACGCTTGCTTGGTAGCACATGTCTGCCGAGCATCTTGCTTCAGAAGCGAGGCAAGAATACTTCCTGGCATTCGGAAAACGAAGAGTGGAACAGGCGAGCAAGTGTGCAGGTGTGCGTCATATGAGAGGCCCCGCCTTACATTTTCCGCCACAAATTTGGGGAAATTGGTCCGTGCGCAAAGCATTGTGGGGATTTTAAGACCGCAGAGTCTACACATGTGCAGCCTCTCGCAACTAAGTACGCCGGCCTCTGTAGAATTCCTGGAAGTATGCTGGACATTGGAACAGTACTTCGGAGGGACTCGATGACGTAGCATCCTTGAAATAATGGCTCTGGAGCAGCTTTCCTCGACATTGAGAAACACCCAGAGGCTTGTAGCAGCGATGAAAGCTGATACACTTCAGTGTCTGAACTCACAGAAACAACTGAAGGAGGATACAAGCCGGATATTATCAATAGTGCTATTTCTGCTCAGTTCTTTCACAAATCTAAAGAGGAGATCCAAGCGGCT